GGCTCTGACATGAATGTTATAAGATGCAAACACAACCACATTTAACCTGACAGTTGTTTACAATGTTCAGTCACTTTAGGACACAATAAAACTGGTATGCTCTCTATTGAGCAGCACTGTATGCACAAAGACAGAGTACCAAAGTCAGTTTACATAGAATACATCATTAAAGAAAGGTTAAGTGTATTAAAGACGGATCTAAAATGACTTCCGTGCCTGCCTGAACTTTACTTGGCCTCAATTTACTTCATGAAAACAATTTCTCTTCATCATACAGCACAGACACTTTTAAACAAACAGAAGCGGTGCTTGTATGATGAACGTAGCTGAAGTGAACGAGTGCGTCTTTGATGAGATTAATGAGACTTCTGCTAACCTAAACACAGCAGCTCAAATTCAGCAAAACCTTCCAGCGGGTTTAAGCCTTTAACCATGTGTGACACTCAGTTTGCCAAGCGTCACACATGGTTACTCCTTATTTGAACAAACCCCACTGCCAAGGAGTGTGCCAGTTTCATCAAGCAAAAGTGATCCATAAGGAAGTTATGAGAAAGAGAGTTATTCACAGTTAAGTCATTTTCAAGCAGAACGTAATGCAAATAGTCTGACTGAGGTGTTTTTACGGCTTTCTAATAACTGAATCCTTGGAAGGAACTACAACCCACAGTGAAATTACAAAGTATGCATCGTGGCCAAATATTCTGGAAAAAAAACGTATTTTAAAACATGATCCACTTTAAGAATAATTCCACGAGTGTACTGTTTAATGCTGCATAAGGAGCACATTTCATTTCAACACATTTTGCCTCTCACCCTATAGGGAAGTGGTTCTGTTTGTTTTGGTGCTCACACTGTGTACCGAAGATAATCCACCTAACTGTCTAGTAGCTACTACACCAACATCTGCAGTCATTGCCAAGAGTGAAAGAGTGAGAGCCTAGCATGTGGGAAGAATAAGAAAAGGTGTTCTCTGTCTTTGTTGTTGTTCTTTGCTGATTTATGCCCAAATGACCCGCCCACAAGCTTATCACATGTCGGTGGATATACAGGCTTCAAATAACAGACACTGTTGTAATAATACCATAAGGCTTAATGCTGAAACCCACAGGATGAGTCTGATCTTTAATTATCACGTTTGTTATTTCAGCAACAAATATAAAAGCAAGAAAATAGGAAATGGAGGGATTAAACAACACACAACTGTGCCATCTCGGGTAGAAAAGTGAAAGTATGGTTTATAGATTTATGATTATGAGAGGGTCAAAGGTAAGGAATACAATGATTAACAATCTGTCATATGGTGTATCCAAGGAAAGCAGGTGCAACTGCTACCAATAATTTGCAATGACATGTCATTATTGAAAGTTAAGTTATACATCCAGTGAGCTTGGGCCACCATATGTTAATAAATCTGGACACCATGCTACCTGTTTTAATCCATTTGTTTTTTTCTCTAGTGCATGAAAGAAAGGATTATGAGTGGGATAATCGCATTCTGACTGCAGATAATGTTCTTTGTAACTGCCCACCACACTGGACTGATTTAGAAGTCTGGGATGGACAAAGATTCAGCAACGCCGATTTCTGTTAAGACAAGTAAATATTTTGGACAAATCCCATTGAGCTCCATAGAACGAGATGCACTCACTGACACACTGCACAGTGAAGACACAGTGGTAATTGAGCCGCTCGGTATGAAGATGTGATGTCACGTAAGTTCAACTGCACAGCAGTGAGACAAAGGTCAAAGTTCCCTGATTAGCCCTAGTTTAACGTCACTGGAAAGCTGCTCTTCACTGACAGGTCACCTGACCTCTTGGCCGTGGTGTTTGTGTCTATTAAGTTTAGAATAACAGTTCAAATTACATCTCTTCTGTTGCCAGCGTCAGATAGGTCACTGGTTTTAAATTCACTCCAAACTGACATTTCAAAGGGGAACAGGAAGGTAAAAGGCCACAGGGTTCATACTGCACTGGCTCAAAATAAGGGCTGGTGTGCTTGGATAGTCTATTGTAGGAACACATCATAAAACATCTCCAATAACAACAAAATTACATTCAATCAGCCAAAATAGAGGAAAAACATTGTTATTTTAGCCAAATAATTTGGTTTGAATGACTTACTGTGAGAGAAGTACAAATTAAGAGACCAGACTTGGTGCTTGCCAGCGTCTGTGATATCTCAGCTCTATCTGTCGCCAAGCCAATTTAGCTGAGCACCACTGTTGGCAAACATGACACCACCCTGGAGTTATGTTCCAGAGGATGTCAGTTCCTGAGAAGAGTCTGCGGTTTGATGTTTACAAATATTGAATTAACATCTCACAGAGAAAGGTGTATGGTTCATACAACATTCACAATTCCGGCCTGATCTGCAGTTCTGTGTATTCTCAACTTCCAGGACGCAGCAATTATTACACTTTAAGTTTCGTGATGTGGGCTTAGGTTACGCAAAAAAGTAGTGATTGATCAATAATGACTGCACCCCAGAAATTCTGAGTCAAATGTGTGGACTCACATGGATAATGTTGCACAATTTTCTGTATTTTCCCCATTGCTCATATTGGATATCAGAGAAGTTGACAACTAACCACACCCACAGCCTGGAGTCATGCTGCATGATGGAAAGGTTCTGTAGCTCTGAAATCTCTAACACACGCTCGCATGCACCAGTTTAAATGGAGCGAATCCTGCGAGCTAGTTCAGGCAGCCACCTCAAGCTGCGCTGCTCCAATCACGTGACACACATCATGTGACATACCTCATTCTCCACAAACATCTATTTTACACACCCACCTTATTAGGCAGCCTATTTAAGCAGAGAGAAATTTCCCATCAGCCCCTTTGCTCGCACTGCTGCTGCAGTATCGCTACCAGTTACTTCAGCCCCTCCACCACTCCAGCAACCACCTGTAGCCTCCGGTGGGGGGGGTTACAAATATTTGCTCGTCACTCCCCTCATATCTGTGTAATCATATCGGGGGAGTGATTGAGTTGGAGCCTAGACGCCAAACACAAACTATGTTCTAATGCTGCAATAAACAGTTGAACGTGAGTTGTCTGACTGAAATTGTTTTCATGCAAGCTAGTCAAACCAGTATGCAGGGGCATTCATGCAGTATAATATAAAAGCATCAAGTATCCATGGCAGGTTATCTGAATTAAATGGCTGAGACATAAATTATGTACTTCTTATTTTCGACATCTGATCCTGGGTAAACACAACAATCTCCTCTAAAAGATCAGGTTCATCCCAGTCTGTGCCTCTAATGTTGTATAATCATCACATTAGTCACAGAGCTAAGAATCAATTTTCTGATTGTCAGCAATCGGAAAAACCCAGGTCACTTAACATGATGCTATACTAACCCTAATTAAAACATTCCAACTGTTTCTAAGTTGCTAATGATTTTTTCCAAATCCAGGTAGCCACTATAAACATGCGTCCTCTTTCTGTAAAACACAAACTCCATATTATCACGCTGTTGTGGAAGAAAAGAAGATATTGGAAAGAAACAAACTTAATTTACAGTTTATTAGATACACCTATAAAAATGCTGGGCAATAAAACAATATCACTAATTATCACAATATAATAGTATAATATATATAATATATCAAAGGTTCTGTATATATGTGTTTTGTGCAAGCACATCTCAGATTTGTAAAATGTTTGGGCTGCCCCATCACAGAACTTAATGACCTTTTGGAGTTGTTGTTGAGAGATCATTATTTATCTGAAGTGTCATCGCAACACAAACTCTTTACAAATCAGCATGCCAAGTTTCAGTTTTATTACTAATACAGAAGAAACACTACCTGAGGCTGAGGTCAGCTGGTGAAATGATAAACAATCCTGTCACTTCATTAACTAGGCTATGACTGCATAAGACAGGACTCGAAGTTAAAACAGAAAGCAGTGCATCTGTTCACTGCAAGACTCAGAAGTACACACTGAGTATGAGTGCATGAAGTCAGAGGAGTACACAGCGTAAACTATACTTGTACAATGAGCTGCATCTGTTGTGTCATCTATGATGTATTATAGAGGAGAATCAGAAAACATTTTGTTCTGTGTAACATCATCACACACACAACATACATTTCATTATCATTTTTTTAGTTTAAAGACTGTCTCTTGCTCCTGATTGATGGTTGTGGTTTTAAACTCTTCTTCATGAGCAGAAAACACTTGACGAGAGCAAAACATTGTACAAATCTGAGGTAGATCTATTGTGTTATACCTCCTCACTCTGCTTTCACTAAACATTAATATATTGAACCTTTGTTATATTGCTATTGATTCATTATATTGCTAAAACTATTGCCTCTGCCAAGGAGATAGTCTCACCCCTGTCTATTTGTTTGTTTTAAAGCAAAACTAAACAAAACGGGTGGATAGATTACCATGAAACCTGGAATGATTCCCCATTGATTTCTCAGAGGATAATTAATTCATTAATGGATGTTGCTGTGAGAAAAAAATGTACTGATATGAGTGCAATTTGGTGCAGACCCAAATAAAATATGGATCGGGTAAATTCATAAGGGGACTGTTGGGCCTTAGTGGAGGTGTGTGCTCTACTGATTTTACATGATCTACCTTTTGTAAAAGAAAAGCTGAGAAAAACCTTGACTATGATAGTAATTTGAATACATGTACTATACTCTACCACCGTCTGTTTGTATATGTTTGTGTGAAGCTTTGTTTATATGGTGCTGTTTGTTTGTGTTATGCTTTTTCTTTACTCACACTTGGATGATTACAGTAAATAATACTTGCACGGTAGCATTCTTACTGACTTATGAGTGAAGCTGGAGCAGGATGTTGTTGAGAACTACTCCGTAAAGTAAAGTCAGTCAGATCACTGTTTCACAAGTCTTCTGCTTGGTGACTAATGACTAATATTACAGAGATGACTGACACTTTACATGACTCGTTTCTTTCCCCCCATGTTTGCATCCCCATTGGTTTAAGTCACACGTTATTTGTGTGTTTACCTTCTCGTCCTCCTCACACTCTTCCTCCCCTGCTGCTGCTTCCTCCTCCCGCCGTGTGTTTCCATCGTCCTCCGCCTCGTTGACACTGTCTGTGTCCGAGCTGTGACTCTCGTCTCCGGCTTCAGAAGCCAGACCGCACCGGGCAGCTGGAGCCTCCTCGCCCTCGGACAAGGTGTGCGACCCGGAGGAGGACGACGACAGACTCCCGCAGCCTCCAGCTGCGTTAACACGGTTGAGCTCCATTATTAATGTTGTTGTCCAGGAAATATCAGCAGCTCCGGGACCAGGACGACTCCATGAAGAGGCAGAACAGATTAGCCCGTCAGCACACCTGTGCAGCCCGGTGAGGTCATCGGCGTTAAAAATGACGCTGCTCTCTGCGCAACTTTAATTTAAAAAAAAAACAAAAAACAACAACGTCACGACGTGGAGCAAACTCTGTAATGTCTCCTGGAGCCTGTTGCAGAAGAAGTTTGGCGTCACGGTCCGGGTCGGAGCCGCCTCCTGTTAGTGTTGTGTTGCTCCACGCTGCCTCTGACCTCGCTCTCCACGCACTAGTACAAGCCTGGTGGCCTAAAGAAACCCCGCCCACAACGTGCGAGGGCGGACCAATCAGAGCCACGCTGCTGCCAAACCAACCACACGAGTTTTCACCATCTTTAGAAGCCCCCCCCCCCCGTGGTGAAAACGATCAGTGGTGAGAAGTGAAATTGCACAGAAGTGTTGAAGTTCCAAGCAGGGGTGTAGAGAAAAAAATCAGGGACCAGCATGTGCACCTGCCCCACTCACCCATTCCAGCAGCCTATGACAACATCAGTAACTCATCTTTGTTTGTCAGAATAACATATTCAAAATGTGTGTTGTAAAAGAATGAACGTCACAACAACAGAGTCCATCGGATCTCGTCTGGTAATGAATTAGCCTCTGGGGGCAACGCCCTCGTTTTGGGGCCTCTGGTGTAGCCAACTAATATCTTGGCAAAGATTTCATCCTCCGTTCACCACTGTATAAATTCTGACTAGTTTCCTTATGGCACGAGTTGAACATTTCTCCATATAAAACACAAACAGAATTTTTTATAAATATTTTTCACCTCAACACTGGCCATGAAAACTGCAATTTAAGACATTTCCCAGAAAAGCAGTTGTGGGACACCTTCAGATTACACAGTTTCATCTTCCAATGAAGTACTTATGAAGTACTGATAGTGTTTTCTGGGTAAAGCACTCCATTTCTTTGGATACTATATACCAGCCACATCCTCCCAAACCAAACAGAGGGTCCACTAGAGGTCACACTTGCACATATCTCTGCTACCACTGTCATATTATTGTAGATATATTCATTTACTCTGAGGTGATAAATACATTTTTAATACTATGAAGAATAATAATATTTTGAAGCCTTCACCAAGTCCATCTTCTTTTTGTCTCAGTTTGTCTTGAATTAGAGTCACATTTGCACTGGAGCACATCGGATCTTGTCTGGTCATGAATTAGTCTCTGGGGGCAACGGACAATATTTTGGGTCGTCTTGTGTTGTGACAACTGATATCTTGGCAAAAATGTCAGCTTCTGTCTCCACACACTGTTCACACTCCGACTCATTTCTTTCACACCAGTAGAACGTTTCTCCACACAAAACTCACAGCTATTGTATAGTTTTAGGTCCAGGTGACATTTTGGCTAAGATATTACAAGCAACTGCTTTATATAAAATTTAAGGTGAGTGCAGAGCTGCAGAGAGGCTTTCGCCTCTGGCAGATTAATGTGAGAACAAGCTTCAGTGTCAGAGCCTGCACATAAATCATTCTGCAGAGTGAAGCTCAAACATCCACATGAAGGAACAAGAAGAAAATACACTATGGTGGAGACATTTAGGTTGAAATAGATGTGTTCTTTCAGCATAATCAAAAATAATATTACTCGCACTCATTATGCAGAAGTTAAGCTTCAGTCGAAGTTTATTTTAAGGTCATAGCTGTAAGATAAATGTGGAAGTAAAGTACAATATTTTCCGTCAAAACGCAGTGAACTAAAGCTGTCACGTTGCAAACAAAGGAAATACTCAAGTAAAGGTACCTCCATGTTTACTTATGTACAGGACTTTAAAGGTCCAGGATTTTGTGGCACATATGGGAGGAATGGAAAATAATATTCATAATGAGGTTTTCATTGGTGTATATTTACCTGAAACTAAGAATCATTGTATTTTCATTATGCTGGACCATGCTGCACTGCCATTTTCTACAGTAAAGCCTTAAAGGTCCAGTGTGTAAGATTAAAGGCCCTTTGAATTTAAATACTTTATATTTACATCGAGGGGACCCTCTCTACGGAGGCCGCCATGTTTTTTACATTAGTCCAGACTGGACAAACTACACACCTTTTGAGTTTTTAATGACAATTAAAGGCTTCCACAGGTTATTTTTCATGTTTGGAAGGAGAGGGTGAGGTGAGGGATGTTCAGCTGCAACATGCAACTTCACCACTAGATATCACAAAATGACAAACCCTGGCTCTAGTTTTATTTAGCATTAAAATGAAGAAATGCAAGATGCTACTCAATCCTACGTACCCCAAAGCTGCAGCTGAAAGGTAATAGGAGATATGTACCTCACAATAAGTGTTTTTACTAAATTAGTCAGACTACACCAGGATATTCTGCAGTCGGGTTGTTTCTTCTTAAAAACCTTTTAGGAATGTGGGTGTGTGTGCGAAGGCATACATCCGTCCAACACTTTTGGGTTTTTGCTCAAAACATTTTAGTGGGGTCTCAATGCAGTCAAGCACTATCCACTCTCCTCTCCTTTTCTTCTCTTGCTTTTTCTCCCCAGACAACTACCTGCAGTGCAACACAGCTAAGTAGCTGTCAAAACCGAAAGCTGTACATCAATTTGAATTGAATGCAAAGAATATAGAGCATTAAATTAAGATTAATGTCCACTCATCACAATTTCCCTCTCACACAACGTATGACCCGTTGACGGCTCCTGGAGAGCAGCTGCATGGATAGAGTACAAGAGTCATGGGCAGTTCCCCAAACTGAAAGTGTTGAATTGCGTGAAAGCAAGAAAACAGTACATGAGCTCTGTCCATTTTCTTGACCTGTGACAATCAGCAAATGACAGATGTTGTTTGTGTTGCATGATTTGTTTAGTCCTCTGTCCTCTTCTGGACAACATCTGTCATTTTTAAATAACAGTAGGTATTTCCACTCACATGCAACCTGATCATATCTATGTCTTTGTTTCTCAGAAATCTTTTTCCCCCACACTGGCCATGAAAATTGCAATTTGAAACATATCCCAGAATAGCAGATGTTAGCGTGGGACACCTTCAGATTACAAAGTTTTTCTTCAAAGAAAGTGCTTGTCTTAACTTGATTGGGTTTTCTGGGTAAGGCACTACATCCCTTGGATACTGTGTGCCAGCTGTACCATATGATTGTCCTCTCACACCAAACAGAGGACCCACTAGAGGTCGTACTTTCACATACAATATCTGCTGTCACATTGAGCTGCAGGAAAGGAAAGGTGCCACAGCCATGAGGGCAATGCTTTGACTGTGTTTTTATTTAGAGATGATAAACACATTTCTAATACTACATTTATATCATATCACACATCATATTTTCAAGAGTAAAGTCATGATGTCTGTATGATGTAAGAGAGGATTTGCTGAGACTTTTGATGAGAAGAGAGTGAATTATCCTCTCCAGCTCAGGTTTTGGTACAGTAGGTTCAGTTTTGCAATGTTCCTCAAATGGAATACACAATGAAGGGTTTTATGTGTTGCTTGAAATGCATGGACTGATCAAAAATGACACTGATATTTCTAAGAATTCAATTTTCAGCTGGAAAAGAGTCTCCATACACTGGGGAACCTTAGGGATGCGTTATCTGGAGCAATGTCTGCCTGAATTGTCTTCAAGGACTCATATTTGTCTAGAACAAGTTAACAGTCAACAGCACATACTGCCCTAATGGCCTCCCCTGTTAAGCCTGAGCCCCATTTGCTGTGAACCTCAAACAGCTTCCTTCCTTTATGATCAGCATCACATTATGTCATGGCACACTGAGCTCAATAAACAGACTGCAGAGTGTTGGGCCAATATTGAGCTGGTGTTGACAACCTGATGTGTCAACACCAGAGAAGAGTCGACCTTCACAACGATCCATTGCACTGTCGCACATCAACACTACTGTCAAGATCTGCACACTTAATTTCATCCTTGCCCAATCATCTCTGTTTCTGAGCAAATGTTGGCGGCAATAACAAACTGAGATTATCTAATGTAGTGCAATTCATTTAACTATACGTCCTTCTGTATATTTAGCTGCACTATGCTTCAAGAGATGGCACTTTCTGTTGGTACAACCACTTTGGTCCAGACTAAAGTATCTCAACTCCTAACAGATGGATTCCTATGAAATTGTACGGAGTTTCTTTCCTATCTTTAATCAAGAGCGTGGTCTTTCAGTTCAAGGGCATGACTTGTTAAATTTATGTTCAGAATGTGCATTACTTTTCATCAAAACCCTGCCCTTGTACTCAAATACCTCCTGTTTGCGCTTGAATTTGCTCTGCTTCTGCTCAAACTGTGTGCCTGCTTGGACTTCCTGTGCTCCAGCTTGGCTGCTTTCTGTGCGCTCGTGAATCGTCTGCATTCTATTGGTTGTGGACTTTTGACAGGGTTGTAACACAAAGAATTCCAACTGCACAGGAGAAATCCAAGAGCAGACGATTCACAAAGCACAGAAGGCAGCCAAGCTGGAGTGCAGGAAATTTGTGCAAGCACACAGTTTGAGCAGAAGCAGAGTAAATTCAAGCGCAAACAGGAGCTATTTGAGTGCAAGGGCAGGGTTTTGATGAAAAGTAATCCACATTCTGAATATAAATTAAAGTCATGTGCTTGTACTGAAAGACCACGCTCTTGAATAAAGACAGGAAGGAAACTCCTTA